AACTCTCTAAGGTTAAGCTTGTATCTCATCTCTTTCTCTGAAAAACAACAGCGATAACAAGAAGAACAACAGCGACGACAAAAGGTTCTTTTAATTTCTGAGGAAGTTGCTGACTGTCTCCTGCCGCCTCCTCGCCCTCCGCCGTCATCTCCCTGAGTGTCCTCTGGCAGCTTCCCCTCCTCTTCCCCTCTCCCCCCCACCCTCCTTCCTCCAAAACATCTCCTTCTTGCAGCTTCCCTCCCCTTCCTTCCCCCCCCCCTTCCCCTCAGAAGCCATCTCCTGCTTGCAGCATTCTCCTCCCCTTACCCTCCTCTCCCTCCCCTTTCCCCTTCTGAACCATCTCCTTGCAGCTTCCCCTCACCCACCCCCCACCCCCTTCAAAAACATCTCCTTGCAACTTTGCCTCCCCCGCTTCCCCTCCTCTTCGCCCCTTCCCCTTCCCTCCCTCTCCCCCCCCCCCTTCCCCTCCCCCCCCCTCGTTGGCAGGTCGGACCAGCTCGCAAAACTATGTTGTGAATAAACAATATTTTCCTTCTTTCTCCTGCCTCTTGGCTCTGTCTTTCATACTTTGGCCAAACTTCTTGACTACTTTGGCTTCTCCTTTCTTCTATTTTTTTTATTTATTTTACTCTTCACTTTTTGTACCTTTTTTTGGCCTTTTTGGTATATTTTTATATGTATTTTTGAAGATTTTTTGATTTCTAGGTTTGGATTCCGTTTCATGTTGTCTCTCCTTTCATTTTTTTTTTTTTTTTTTTACGCTTTATATCATTTCACTTACTATACATTTTTAAAAAATCATCCTTCCTCCATATTCTCTTTTCCGCCCTTTGCTCTTTCTTCCTTCTCCGTTCACCTTTCCTTCTTTGTCTTTCCCTCCACCATCGCGTCAAAAGGCACCCGCCTCCCCCTCCCTCCCCCCGCCTCCCTCCTTAAAACCTAGTCGCCTACCCCCCCCCTCCCCGCGTCCACCCCTCCACCTACCCTATCCCAATACCCTAATACTCCCTACCCCTTCCCCTCTTCCCTACCCCACCTCTACCTCCCCCCTCCCCTCTCCCCCTCTTTATCCTATCCCTCACCGCTACCCTTCTCCCTCCCCCCCTCCTCTCCCCTCTCTAGCAGCATCCTCCGTTACTTTGATCTTAGCCTTTCTGTGATAGCGGAGGCGAGAGAGACAGAGAGAGAGAGAGAGAGAGAGAGAGAGAGAGAGAGAGAGAGAGAGAGAGAGAGAGAGAGAGAGAGAGAGAGAGAGAGAGAGAGAGAGAGAGAGAGAGAGAGAGACGAGAATCAAAACATCAGCCTCGAACTCCTTCCAAGAAACACCATAGTGAGTCATGAGGGACATGGGAGGTTAGGCTAGATTTACGAGACTCATATCGGATCGCAGTCTGACTTAATTCTCTCTCTCTCTCTCCTCTCTCTCTCTCTCTCTCTCTCTCTCTCTCTCTCTCTCTCTCTCTCTCTCTCTCTCTCTCTCTCTCTCTATCTTTCTGTCTATTTATGTCTCGCCTCTTTCCTGCCTCGTGTTTACTTTGCGCGCCCTGAGGTCTATCGCTTCCTTGTCAGAATCCAGAACTCATTCCCTTGGCTTAATCTCTGGTCCTGGAGCTCCTTCGCAAGGGCTGTAGGTCCGCCTCTTTCTCTCTTGGCAATGTCTCGCACTTCCCTTTACTGCTAATTAAAGATTTGCAAAAATATGAAAAGAAATTTGAGCGCTGTGAAATGCTTTTTTTTTACCGGCGTTTCTTGTTTGTTTGTTTATATGTTTGTTTGTTGCCGACGGATCGTGATGGAAGGTTTTGGTTTCCGGTGGACCACGTCATAGTTAAAAATAGTTAAAGAGCCAAGTGATAGTTAGAAATAGTTACAGGGCCAGGTGATAGTTAAAGATAGTCAAGTAAAGGGTCTAGTGATAAAGAAGAGCCGGTGGAATAAAGTTGTTTGGTAACGTTTATCAAAGCGGGGAAACTCAAGAGTAGGAGAAGAAGGATGCTTCTGATAGGATATCCACTTGGTCTTAGTAGCTCATGATAGACTTAGGTATTCTGAAATATTTCACTGTAAGATTTGGATTCTAGATGAGCGCTTTAGGAATTAGGAATCACAATGCGTTATATAGCGATTAGAATACAAGACTGATGGAAAGTATGTAAAAAATGATATAATGATAATAAAAAAAAGAATTAAAAGAATAAATAAAGGAAAGAAAAGCAGAAACTCCAAAAATCACACCTGCATTACCAAAACAATCTTTCGGTATGAATGAGCGATACGGAGTGATACCTGTGGGCCGTGTAGCGCAAACATCACTCACGATATTGCACCTGCCAGTCATCCTCGAGGAAGCCTCTGTCCTTGGAGTAGGATGCTTGGTTAGCGGAGATGAGGCCTCGAGATGCCGCAGGGTGGGAGAAGAAAAGAATGGGGAGCTGGGTAGGAAGGGGGAGTGGGGGAGGAGAGAGAGAGGGGGGGAAGGGATATGGGAGGGGGAGGATGG